GTTGAAAAACTTTTTTGGATCTTAATATTTTGATGATAGATAGATAGATAGATAGATAGATAGATAGATAGACAGACAGACAGACAGACAGACAGACAGACAGACAGACAGACAGACAGACAGACAGATAGATAGATAGATAGATAGATAGATAGCACTACAACTAGGTGGGTTTATAACTGACTGACAAACTGTACTCAACATTATTTAATCTGTTTTTAATAGTTTTTTAACTTTTGTATGTCTTTGTATTTTATTTTGGCTGTTCACTGCCCTGAGTCCTTCGGGAGTAGGGCGGTATACAAATATGATAAAATAAAATAAATAAATAAATAAATAACATGTAGTCTTCAACAGAACTACAGCCACATCAGGGGTGGGTTCTAAATTTTTTTTACTACTGGTTCTGTGGGTGTGGCTTATTTTGTGGGTGTGGCTTGGAGGTCATGTGACTAGGTGGGCATGGCTAGCTGGTCAGAGTCATTTCTGGAAGGTCCTCGCACTTATGACCAGTCCTCGCACATGAACTTATATTAACCATGACGTAGCTGTACTTTAAAGTCATGTTGCTTTCAAGATAAATTGGATTACTATCTCATCTCATACTATCTCATACTATCTCTATGAGGTAGGGTAGGATATATTGCAATGCCTAGTAGCAGGGTATAAGATACAGGCAGGAACAGCAAATACTGAACAGCACAACCAAGTAGCTTTTGTCTTTGATGGGATGGATAGCAGCAATTAAGACACATGTTTTGCCTAAATGGCTATTTTTATTTCAATCAGCTCCGGCGAGGCTAGATAAAAGGTTTTTTAAAAGTCTGGATCGAGTCGTGCTGAAATTTATTTGGCAGGGGAGGAGGCCTAGGGTAAAGCTCAAAATGTTACAAGAGCATAGACAGAGGGGGTCTCCCCTGCTGGGAACTATATTATCGAGCTTCACTGCTAGCCTGGATGAAGGATTGGGTGTAATTGAAGAGGAGGTCTTTATTAGATTTAGAAGGACACGACCTACAACATGGCTGGCATGCACTGCTATGGAGAGAGAAAGTTCAACAGTATAAGTATTTCAAGAGACATTATCTAAGGCGAATATTGCTGGAAACCTGGGACATAATTAGAGGAAAATTTTATACCAAGATCCCAACCTGGTTCTCAGCAATAGAAGCGATGACATACCCAACAACTCTTAAACAGGATAATATTTTTAGATATAAAGATCTTGTGGATGCCCAAAGGATATTAAGGTCTAGGGGAGTTTTGGTTGATAAAGGAATTAGGCTAGATTGGTGGACCTATGCTACAGTTCAATCTCGTTACAGGAGAGATAGAGATAATTATGGGATATATGTGATGGAACAGAGTTTTGATAAAATATTATTTGGTTAATACATAACCAAAATGCATGTACAATTGCTTGAGCGAATGATAGGAGAGGTGGTTGTAAAAGACACTATGATTGCCTGGGGGAGGAATTTTGGGTACTCGATCCCCCTAGAAAAATGGCAACAAATGTGGGAGGGGGGAATATTAAAATGACTATGGCAACGTCTTTCAAGGAAAATCCATATAAAATGTTGTATAGGTGGCACCTCCCACCAGCAAGAATTGCTAAAATGTTTCCGGGTGCATCAGAGTTATGTTGGAAATGTGGGAAAACCAGAGGTATGTATTTCCACCCATGGTGGATTTGTATAATGGCAAAGAAGTATTGGAGAAGAATTAAGAATTGGATTAAGGAAATTACTAATGTGGACCTCCAATGGAAACCTAAGATATAATTACTAAGTATTTGCCCAGAGGGGCTGAGCAAGAAAAAATGGTATCTCACTCTACATACTTTAGTTGCAGCTAGAATAGGGTTCGCCCAATAGTGGAAAGGAAAAGAGATACCAGCTAGTGCCCAAATTATAAACAAAGTATTAGAGTGCGCTGAGGCGGATAGAATGACGTATGTGTTGAAAGAAAAAGAGAATTCTGAATTTTTTCAAAGTTGGGACAGTTGGTATCGGTGGTTGAATAAAAGGATTGAGATGAAGTGAGGGCCTATGTTAATATGAAGAGAGATATACTTATTTAGATTGAAAGATAATTGTATGAAAATCATATTTGGGGATTACTTACCTTATTCTGTGTTGTGGGCATAATTATTTACCAATGAGGGCAGGAACAATATCTGCCGGGATAGATGTGTTTTTTTATGTTTAGTGTTATGAATGGGGGAGGGAGGGAGGGGAATATATGGTTTTTGTTTGTATGTATAAACAATGTTTTTGTCTTGTGTTGATTATAATTTGAAAAAATTAATAAAATTTATTTTTTTTAAAAAAGTAGCTGGCACTGTGTACAGACACCTCTGCCTAGAATATGTGTTAGACCAGTGATGGCTAACCTTTGGGTCATCACGTGCTGATGCAATGCATGCACAACGCCCCACACCCTGCCCCCCCGTGCATGAGCGTGCAACATCCCATACTCCCCCACACTCCCATGCACGCAGGCGACCTCCTGCACCCCATTTTGAGCCTAGCAGGCCTTCCTGCAGCCTTCTGGGACCAAAAACGGGCCATGGGGGGTGCCCTCCACCCCCCGCTCTCCCCCCTGTGTATGTGTGCATAAGCCTGCACCCCCCGGCACATGTGCATGCATCTCGCCCACACACATGTGTGGCAGAGACCCGAAAATCAGCTGGCCAGTGGGAGGTGTGCGCATATGCAGAGTGGAGCAGAGCTGAGGCGAGGGCTCGTTTGCCCGCAAAGAGGGCTCACATGCCCAGAGAGAGGGCTCTGCTTGCCACCTGTGGCATGCATGCCATAGGTTCGCCATCACGGGGCTAGACTGACCTATGTATGGAATTATGGGGTCCTACAAAAGCTACCTCATCTGAACAATTTCAGCCCCCCTTTTTAAGAAGCATATTGGGAACTGACAAGAAAATGTCAACCCCCATGGGCAAACAGAACCAGGTATCTACTTCGTACAGAGCCAATCAATAATTAAGCGTAATTATGTCAACTGCCATATCATGAGAAGCTCTGAATAGGTGATGCCCCAGCCATCAAAGGTATTGCTTGTGTTCTGTTTGATTATTAATTCTGTGCACCTCTTAGACTTTGACACTAAGATCTCTATTTGAAAGAACTGCACCTGGAGTCCCGAATGTCAAGCTTCCCTACTTCCTCCTGGGCTTTAAGGTACACAGTGTAAAGAGAAGTGCTAAGTTTATAGACCAGGACGTTCAACCAAAAACATGTTATATCAAACAGAACCTGTTACCTGTAATTACATTACAGGTAATGTAATTATCGGAATCGATTCTTTTTATTTACCACTTATATATTTCATTATTGTATTTTCTTTTACACATCTTATTTTGTAATTAAATCACACACTTTTACCTTTATTTTATTTTTTATTTGATATTGCTGTGGAGACTAATCAATTAATCAATTACATTAAGATTACCTTAATTAATTACATTAACAAACACATTAAGATTGAAATACGGAGAATCAAGAATGGAAAAGGGTTAACTTTAGAGTGTAGTTGATGGGGGAGCTAGAAGTAACCTCTTTTCTGTGGAAAGAAACATCAAGTCTAATGTTTTGCATTAGACTTAATCCTTGCAAAGTTTCAGCAACCAAAGTGGACCTCCATCTTTATAATCAGAGGTCCCAGAAAGATCATTTATATAATAAGTCGGTGTAAAAGGTGAAGTCTCTTAAAAACACCCAGGGAATTCCAGAATGGATGGACATGAATGGATCTGACATGATTGTCCAAGTTATAGTATAAGATGTAAGAAGGGACAGCATCAAGATCATGAGAAGTGATAAAAACTGCTTTATATTGTACTTGGGAGGCCACATTTGGAATATTGCATGCAGTATTGGTCACCACAGTTTAAAAAAGATGCTGAGATCCTATCATGGGCAGACACGATAAAGGGTCTGGAGGCTAAACTGTATGATGAACAGTTTAGGGAGCTAGGCACGTCTAGCCTATCGAAGAGAAGGATTAGGAGAGACCTGATAAATGTTTTTCCATACTTGAGAGGCTGTCACAGAGAAGAGGGGACTGACTTATCTCCAGAGAGTAGGACAAGAAGTAATGGGTGGAAAGTTCGTTAATGAGCGATCCAATTTAGAAATAAGGAGAAACTGTCGTCTGAAATAAGGAGAAATAGTCCACTGATTAATGGACTGTTAGAACAATTAATCAGTGGAATTGCTTGTCTCCTGGAGTTATAGGTGTTCCCTCATTGGAAGTTTTCAAAAATAGACTTAATGAACATTTGACCAAGATTGTATAAGGTCTTTTGCCTCATGCGGAGAATTGGACTAAACTTCCTTTAAAGTCCCTTTCAACCCTATGATAGCATATTCTATTTTCTAAGGGAAATCAGCATCTGCTTTAGACTGGGGCAGGAACAGCTCTCCCCTTTCCTCCATCATTATGCATTTTTTTTTACTTCTGTAGGCAGAAATAGCGGCGCATGATGGTCAGCTGATGCTGTAGTCCTGTACTTCCTTAGGTGAGGAGTTTTGAAAGAGAAAAGTGTGGGAGCCTGACTCTTTCAAAACCCCTGAACTTTATTCCCTCATTATACTTGTGGGTGAGCAGAGTTTTGAAAGACTGCCAGATCCTGCTCCAAAGATGCCTGGAAAAAAAAAACAACCTGGGGAGTTGGCAAATAGATTGTAGTGAATCAGGAAAGCCTGATTTACCCCACTCATTGCATCGGCAAGCCCACAAACAGCTGTTCAGCAAAGCAGGTATGTTCACACAAATATTCTATCTCACTTTGTTGCTCAGGGTAGACAATGAAAGAGTTAGGGTTAACCTGAAAATTCACCACTTCCACAAGATCCATTCTAAATCCCTGTCTTGATCTGCTCATAATGTTCTGTGTTAGTGTGAAGGAGGTTCTGATATCCAGTGGACTGTGATCCAGTTACACACACAAACGCACCAAAGCATGTAAGTTGAGAGAGGAGTCTAGAGAAACTATTTGCTTTAATACTAAAACACATAAAAACAAAGCCTGCAAGAAAACACCAACAAGCAAAAGCTCTCCTCTTAGCAAAGTCCAACAGCTCCTCCTAGAGTCATCCCACAGCATGGGAAGCTCTCAGTTCTTTGTCCGCTTCCTCAGAAGCAAGGCAGTGGCTCAGCTCTTTGTTCCATTGTAGTGACTTCAGCCTTGGAAGCTCCATGTGGGAGAGTCAGCATCTGAGCGTAGCTTTGTCTGAGAGTCTCTTCTGAGTGTGACCCAAGCAGCTGCTTATATGCTGACTCATTGTCCGTTGGAAAGCCTGGGAAAGCTCAGAGCCAAAAGCTGTGTTGTGATTGGCTCATTTGAATGTTCAAGCTGGAAGCCAATCATGTGGCTGCAGCAATACACTGAGAGGAATTTTCCTCTCACAGTTAGATCGGATGATGGAAGAGAAAGACATAGCTCTTTCAGTAACAACAGCTCTTTATTAGTAGACCAGTACAACCCAACAACCTGCTTGTCTGGCAGCATCCCTTTTATAGAGGGCTGTCAGACGGCTTAATCAATGAGCTTTAAGTATTTTTCTGCCATTTTGGAGGACCTGAGTGAAGCCTATAGCTCACTCCTTATTTGGTACATAACATTCTGAAAGGAGAAGGGCAGCAAAACCAGAGAGTTTGACCCGTAATTTTGCTTAAGTACTTTAGAAATAAGGACATTACTAACCAGGGACAAGCCAAATGGAAGTTAATAGATACATTATAGGCATCAGCAATAAGGACAGCAAATTTTATACCAATATAGTTTCACTACTAACTAAAGACAATAGATAAAGGACCTTAGCCATATGAGGAAATCTCATGCTGGGATTTGGCAAATTGTATATATTAAAAAAGTGTTTATAGGAACTAAACCTGGCCTAAATCTTCTCCTCTTTTAAATTTAAATTTTAAATTTTAAATATAAATTTTAATTTGTTATGGGGTATTTTAAAATTCAGCCAAATTATTTAATTCGTTTTAATCTATTTTAAATTTTGTATCTCTGTGTTTTATCTTCTGGCTGTTCAGCGCCCTGAATCCTTTGGGAGAAGGGCGGTATAGAAATTTAATAAAATAAATAAAATAAAATAAACTAGCTGGACAATGTCAAAACTTTAGTGCATCTGGCCTCATTTGTGGAATCAAAATACAAAAGATAGTAAGAATTTCAGAGAGATGTACTGTTAACTGTTTTCTGCAGTTTCTATTATATTTAATAATAGCTTAGAATTTAATGTTGCTCTGTTCTATAATCTCTGCAAAGTTGAGAATTAAACATTACAAGGTTACATAAAGACCCTTCTTGGAACGTCATCTCTGATTCAAACCATTTGAAGGCACATATCACACATTATTTTCCTCCACTGAGCTGGAAATAGGCTCAGGATCCTCCTGCATATCCCAGCAGAATCTGAAGGGCAGCTTTTCCATCCTCTCCTTAAAGACACGGTCAAATCTTTCACTCTGGGCAACAGTCATGTGGTTCTTCCAGTCCCCAACAATGCCTGGAAAACAGTGGTTAAAAAAATGTCAACAGTATTTCTGTTCAATTAAACTAGAGGCTATTTGTGTCATCCTATCACCAAAATGAATGGGTGTCCATGTAGGAATGCATGTATGTTTGTGTGTATGTGTATGTACAGACACACACACACACACACACACACACACACACACACACACACACAATATACGTATATCTATATCTTTAGAGTTTCAGGAGGGGCTATAGGAATGAAGGTCATATGTCTTCCAGATGTGGTTTCTAGTCTCCAATTACCATGCCTGCCAGGGGTGGGTTCTATTTACCTTTACTACCGGTTCGCAACCGGATTGTTGTCAGGATAGTTTACAAAACCTGGAACATTACACATTCCTCTGATATCAGAGGAACGGTTAGCTACCTCCCCGCCCATCAAACAGTATATACAAATCTGTATTTCTAATTTTTGGGCAAGAAGCTGATTCCTTACCATTTTAACTAGAGCTGGACTACAGAGTGAAGGCTTGTTAGAAGGGTAAAGATTTCTTGAACTAGAAGGGCTCAAGTGATTTCTCTGGCATAAGGATCTTGTTCTGGGAAGTCAGGGAACCAATGGTCTGCCAGTGAAGTTCTAAATGATCTGGAGTTCACCGTGCTGGAACCAGCCCCATGATTAATTGAAATGATTGATAGGTTTGGGTTTTTTTAGCATTGGCTATGTCCCTGCAGGCTTAAAGGAGGCAGCTCTAAGACTGGAGGAGAGGCCCAGGGTAGACAGCAAAGAAGATGTGTCTCCAAAAGGCTAAAGTGGCCAGTATAAACTAGAACAATCTCATTCCTAAAGGATCATTAGACTGTGCAAGCAACAGACTAGACATTGTAATAGTCAGATTATATCCATGGCAAAAAAAACTCTGTCAGGATAAAAAGGAGTCCACCAATTTAACATCGGTGCAGCTAAGAAAGCCTTATGGCTGCCTCAGACTAGTGCGACATCATGAAGAGACAGCAGAAAGAGAAGTTGTTAGAAAATGTACATACCACTCTACAAAAAGTGCCTTTTAGTTGAAGGTGGCAATCCTGGCAGATTCATAAGCATTCCCCTAGAGTATACATTTCTATGGATTTACCTTTACGAAAAAAGATCCCTTTGCTAGAATCTATAAAGATAGGATACAGGGATGTATAGTTTGTTCTAGAATCCGCTTTCATGCTATCAAATGTAGCTTTATCCACCACATCATCCACCTCCTTTTCAGTTAGTTCTCTTCCTAGGAAGTGGCATATTTTCAGTACAGAACTTCTCAGATCCTGCAATTTGATACAGCTTTATATTAGTTCATCTATAACAATGGAGAAAAGAAGGAAAATGTTGCTGATAAATCATTTGTATTTTTATTTTTTTTAAATGAACCATATTCATTAAACACCAGAAATCCATCCTTAGAACTGCTGCTAAGGGTTTCCAAGAGACAAGTTGTTGAGAAACTTTTTTGGTTCTCAATATATTTATGATTCAGACTATTACATCCTTAGCAATCTTGACAGCAAAAGAAGCTGTTCAGTTCTCCAACCAAGCTAAATAAATGCTTTGGTCTCTTGAAAATGCACTTGAGTTGAATCAACCTTCTTTGAGCCAAAAGAGGAGAACATTATTTATTTTATTTTACTTTATTTTATTGATTAAATTCATATCCTGCCCATGTCACCAAGTGCTCAGAAAAATGCCTTTTATTAATCTTTTTGATATCAAGATGACCACATTCTAGTTTCATCGATTCTTCTCCTTCCTGTTGAAGAGGGGGCTCTTATGCTTCTTCAGAGATGTCACCAGTCCTCCAGGAGTTCACCGAAATAACCAAGGTTCAGTGGTCACCTCTACTACTCCTTGTTGGAATAAGGTTTTCTACACATTCCTCCCTTTCGAAAGCCTCCTGTGCTTGATGGTTGTTCATATTGCATTACACATTTACACATCTTACCTTTTTCATTTCTTCATAAGAAAGGAAGAGAATATTGAAATCACCCTTATGAGTGTACCAGCCTTCTACATGGTCAAGCCATAAACTACTGGGCACTGATAGGAGAGAAATGAATTTGGCATAAATATGAGTGCAATCTTCAAAGTCACTTGGTTTAATTGTTTAGCTGGGCACTGCAATGTTCCTGCTAACAATCCATCTCAGGGATACATTATGAATGCTTGAATTTTTTCCATTTATTCTTATGACCGGTTGGCCCCATGGATTAAAGCTCAATTGAGGGGCTACCTTAATAACGCTGAATGCGGAGAGGAGAGAGAAGGAATGGGAGCCATAACTAATGTGATTACATACTCTCACTTGTTAAGGGGAAAGTTTTGTCAAGATGCTGTTATATTGTTTTGTTTCTTTTGCTTTTCTTTATTTGGATCCTTGGGCAGTTTGAATTTATTTTTTGTACATTTGCAAATATCAGACTTACTCCCATTAGCTCTCTTCTGTGTCCAATCCTTAAATGTTCCCCATGTGATTTCATGTTAGAGAGTGTTTATTTATTTAGTTTTCTGATGTTTTTTTAAAAAAATAAGGATAACTCTCTACTTTTTCAAATTATATTGATTTGTATTAATTTTAGATTCTGTCCATTATTCCCAACATAACCCTGATTAATGAGGTGCAGTGACTCAGTGGGTTAATTACCGTCTCTGCGCCAGCAGTTCAAGCTTTGCATGGCGGGGTGAGCCCCCATCATTTGCCTCAGCTTCTGCCCACCTGGCAGTTTGAAAGAATGTTCTACGATACCTAGATAAATAGGTACCACTTCGGTGGGGAGATGAGTTGGCTCTGAACCTTCCTGGTTGTGATGCCCACTTCCAAGGCATGTCCGGTGAAGGGAGGGGGTCCTTGGATGCTGCTGCAAGAAGATCTACTCATCTTTCTTTCTGGTGTAAAGCCAGCTCGCCCTTCTGTGGTGCACTTTGGGAGCATCTCCCACAACAGAGCTGGTAAATTTGCAGCCAAACTACTATTCTGCAATAGCATTGCAGTCTCCTGACTAATATAACAATGATAATAATAACAATAACAATGGCAACAATAATAATACTAACCCCTGATTTTAAATCTAACAAATTATTCCCCTCCATTTTTCTCTATATTAAATGGATCCTCGTATTTCTTCTCTCTCTTCCTTAACAAGCTGCTTTCTCTTGCCATTCCCATCCACTTTTGCATCATGAGTTATTTAAGGAATCCTGCATTCTTCTCCACTCATCCATCCCATTATAAACGGTTTGCATATAATTTATGGAAATAATTGAATGAAGATTGAAAATAACTATTCTTATCTTATTTTAAGGAGGGGAGGTGGATTGTTTGCCGCTTGCAGGAAGTGGATTGAATTCATATCTCTTGTCCAAAAGAAAAACTAACTTGATTGTGATTAAGTTCTTACCTTTGCCAGCCAAAAACTTCTCCAAGTAAGCATCAAACTCTTCTGTTGTTTCCAACGTGGTTAGAATTTTATAAAAATGATAGCTAGAAACAAAGACATCCTTTGGATTTCTAAACACATAAATAATCTGTAGGAAGAAGAAAGTATCTAGTCAAAAATGATCCTCAGAGACTCCAGTTAGAGTGAATACAGCAGGAAAAAAGTGGGATTGGTTGAAAAACCTTGAGGCTTGGTGGACCTTAGGGGACTTTCTGGAGGGCAGAACTCCATTTGTACTTTATTTCACAATAGGTTAACTTCCCATGGATAAAAATATATCTACAATCTCTCTCTCTCCCTCCCTCCCTCTCCCTCTCCACCTCTCCCCCTTCCCCTCTCCCCTCTCTCATCTATCTATCTATCTATCTATCTATCTATCTATCTATCTATCTATCTATCTATCTATCTATCTATCTATCTATCACAGTTGTCTAACTGTACATCTTACATGGTGACTTTGGGTGACTTTTAATTATTTATTAATTAAATAAAATACATAAAAACCATTAAGAACTTCAATTTAAATTTAAATTTAAAAAGAAGACAAAAAACAAAGAAACCCAGAATGGCAGCAAAGCATACAGAGAGTACATCAATTAACTCTCATACAATCACCTTAGAAGCTACACTTTATCATAGAACCTCGAAGCTCATTAGCAAAACCATTTGGAGGATCTTCCAGAAGGCCAGGAAGGTTGGAACCAGCCTCACTTTAGGGGGAATAGGGGAAGGGCAAAAAAGGGTCTGCCTAGGTCATCCCTAAAACTCCCCAGCTGACAGCTTCCCAACATGCCTTTCCTACTGGACTTGATGGAATGGGTAGAGGTAACTGAGGACAGAGGTCCTTCAAATGACCTGTTCCCAATTCCTGAAGGGTTTTAAAGGTCATAACTAGGAAATTTGAACCAGAACAAGAATCAAACAGATAGCCAATGTAGTTTCCAAAGCAGAAGTGCAATGTATGCAGTTCTTGGAGAACACACAAATGCCTACCTTGCTACATTTTGCACCCACTGAAGTGGATGCAAAATTAAAGCTATTACAGTCCTCCATCCAGGAAGGCATAAGAGACTGAGAGTAGTAATTGTAAAAAGGATTTTTTTTTATTTTTTTTGGCTTTGATTTATATGCCGCCCTTCTCCAGAGACTCAGGGCGGCTTACAATGCGTAAGCCATACAATTTTATGGCTAAAGGTAGGATTCCTCAACTTGGCATCCTCCAGATATGTTAAGATAAAAACTTACTATGCTGCACAAAAAATTCCAATCCATCTGGAAGTGTCATTTTGGAAAAAGTAACATGAAGGATTAAATATCTCTGTATAGATCTTCAGTTTGGTTCTATTTCAGCCAAGCATTTTACTCAGCCTGCAAATCACCAAACACTTTGGAACATGCAAACTTCATTGCATTTATTTCTCAATAAAACATTCAGATGCAGAGGTAAAAAAAAAGAAGAAGAAGATAGACAGCTCCCCACTCCACCCCACAAGTTACCAAAATATGTCCTACTTTTGCTCTTTTATTTTGTAATCCTTTGGGTGCCAAATAGTAGGGCAGATGGGAACAAATGACACGAGGTGATGGGCGACTAGGTAAATCTGCATAATTATTATACTCTAGCCATGGTGCCCTCTTAAGCAGGGTAATATTTTCAGTTCCATCTCGATGACCTTCATAAAGAATCAAGCTCACAATGTTCTGAATCCACACTGTGCCTGTAAATAAGAAATAATTAAGTCATCCAGAGCCATCATTTTTTTTAATAGTTTTTATTAATAATAAAAAGAAAAAAACAAAACCAACATAGATACATTAAAACAACATACAAAACGAACACACATCAATTCAGTCCAATGACTGATTCTTAGAAGATATTACAACGGTGGGTTATTTTTCATATTTCTATTTGTATCAATATTTACAGTCACCTAATTACTTAGTTATATATGTACATATATAATTGACTCCTTATTTACTTCTATGCATTTCTATTGAGTACTCGAAAATCATCTTTATATTCCTATTTTTGCCTCCAGCCAGTTGTACCATCTTTGCCATATTAAATAGTAATCAGTATCATCTTTCTCTTGTATTTCTTTTGTGAGCTTATCCAATTCTGCACATTCTGTAATTTTAGCTATTATTTTGTCTTCTGTGGGTAACTGTTCAGATTTCCATCCAGAGCCATCATTATTTGGAGAATGTTCAACACATAAAAAACAAGAAAAAAATCAAGCAATCAGTCTACTAATTGGAGAAGATGGCAAAGAACAAATAGGAAGTAAAGAGAAAGTGTGACGTCCGGTTTGGTGTCGCGGCAAGACAGTCGGGGAATTAGCAGGCTCCGATGAGCCCTGCGAAAACCCCGGCTGACGAACCACCACCGATGGGTCTTTGGACCAGAACCGTCCTGCAGGGATGAGGAAGAAAGAGAGGCACCTTGGATGACCAAGAGGAACAGGCAAGTTCCTCGAAGGTCAGAGGGAACTTTCTGTCACTTGGCGATGGGGGGCGGCAGCCATGGCGGCTGCCACGAAGCTGGGACAACCGGTTCAAGTATTGAGCAGGAGGCAAGCGGAACAGAATGGAGTTTTTCGAAGCCGGGTGAGTGACAGCCAACCCAGGCTTGTAATAACATCAAGGGAAACATCTTTTAACTACAAGGCCCCTAGCGATAAAATAGTGGCTAGGGAGCATGGGGGCAAAGAAGATTTTTAAATGTAACTTTAAAGAGACAAAAACCAGACAGAAAATTGACTTTTGAATAAAACTAATTGGAAACGTTAAACATTGAGACATGGTCAAAGGATTGGAAAGAGTTTAAATTTGGACTGGACTTTTAAAAAAAAGATTTGATACTTTTAAAACTAAAAAGAAAAAGAGAAGCCAAGTAAGATTGTTATGTAACTGAAACAAAATGGATACTTGTTAAACAATTGGAAATTCTGGATTGCAGAGAGATACCTTCTGGACTAAAAATGAACATTGCAACTTGGTTTTTGTTTTGGAAAATCATGAACTTTACAGATAACAACTGTGAGAATTTGTGGAGGATGATTTCATTTCTGCAGGCAGCTTGACTTTGGGGGAAAAAAAAAAAGAAAAGGGGAACCACAACGGAACTCTTATAATTGGGATGACATCAACTTAAAAAGAATAAAGTGGCACAGGAATTAGAGAAGGAATAAATTGATGTATTTGACTTGGAATGGAAATAAGAAAAATAATTAAAATGCTACATGGAGAATAAAATTTGAGGACATTGAAGCTAAAATGAAGTATACGCAAGAAGACAAGAACATGAAGAAACAAGACATAATGGCTGGAAATAAAGAAGAGACAATGTGATTAAATATGAATAAGTAATGTACAGGTGGATAGTAATAATAAAAAGGAGGTTTTTAGAGACTATATTGTGAAAAACAATAGTTATAAAGATGATCACACTGGGATTAACAATGAAAGAATTGGGGAACATGCGGTAAAATAGAAAAGTCCAGGACTTTGATTTATAAAATAACTATATTGAGATTAATAATGGTTAACAGAAATATGAGAAGAATAAGTTACAGATACTTAAAATTGAAATATGGATGGAAGCTATAATATATGAGAAATAGACTATGTTAAAAGAAAATATATCAATGGACATAATGAATCAATTTTTGTTAAGATGCTACATGGTATTACTTGAGAATAATTGATGACTATAAAAACTGGGATATTGTTTAAATACCTATAATAATTGCAATAATTTGAATATTTTCAATAACTTTAATATTTTAATATTTTTAATATTTTTGATAATATACTTAAACTGGTTTTTATATAAATGGTATGGTTAAAGAGATAGAATTGTGGGAAATAATTGGAAAATTGTATTGTAGTTTCATTTGAATTAAGAACTATGTTTCAATGTTGAATTGCTATATTTTTGGGATTAGAGATAGGATCTAAATTTGGTGAAGTAATAAGGAAATAAAGATTTATTGAGCATTATACGAAGTAATAATAAATGTGGGGAAGTTTTAGAAAGGAAAATAAGATTTTGAAATATAAACATGTTTGACCTGTATTGTTAATAGTGAGGATTTAGGCTAAGAATTGTGAAATGTATTATGAGGTATTAATGGAATTGAGATTTAAAATGAATTAATAGAAGGGTAATTGTTTTGATTAAATAAATAAGAGTAAACTCTTTACAAGATGGTAATAGGGGAGATAGGTGATTTAAGATTAAATATTGTTAATAGTGAAGATTTAGGGTAAGAATTGTGTAATGTATTATGAGGTATTAACTGAATTAAGATTTAAGAGGGGTTAATAGAAGGGTAATTGTTTTGATTAAGTAAATTTGATTTAATTCTTTTAAGATGGTACTAGTTGAGATAGGTAATTTAAGATTAAGAAATAAGTGTTATGGCAAAATAGAATATACAAAATTTTGTTAAAGATGGAAAAATATTGTATAAATTGATGACCGGATCAGGCTCTATTCCGAAAAGATGTAATTTGTGTGTTGGAAAAAAATAAAAATAAATAAAACTTTTTGCAAAAAAAAAGAGAGAGAGAGAGAGAGAAAGCAGAACTGCTTAATTCATACTTCACATCTATCTTCATACAAAAAAAGGAAAATCCGTAGAGGAGGTGGTGTTGCTATCTTCTACAAAAAGTCCCTACATCTAAAAAATATTCAAGTTACACGCGAACTTGCTCTTCCTGAGACCATCGTCTGCGACCTGTCCTTAAATACCACACTTCGATTCTTACTTTGTTACAGAGCCCCAGATTATGACATCAAACATGCGAACAAGTTAACTTCACTACTAACCTGGGCAGCCTCCTGCCCACACCCAATAATTTTTCTTAGTGACCTTAATTTACCACTTATTAATTGGACCCTAAATGAATGTACAACTGAACCTATTCATGCAACCCTATACAATACTGTAACTAATCTGGGATTTGATCAACTAGTAACTAACAACACTAGACTCAACAACTGCCTTGATCTCATCTTCTGCAACAGTTTAAATTCTATTTATGGACTACAAATAAAAGAAATATTCTCCAACAGCGACCACAGCATGATTTACTTTTGTCTCAATTTACGCCCTCTCAAAAATCATAATGATGGGATTCCCAGTTATAACTTGAAAAAAGCCAATTATGATCTCATAGACAATGAACTCTTGTATCTTGATTGGCAAAATCTATTCTCTGGCTGTAATACTGCTGACGACCATTACAACATTTTCTTGCGCGAACTCAAAAGAATCATTAAACTTTACGTACCACTAATATCTCACAAAAACAGAAAAAATAAACTACCAATAACAATAAAGAAATTACAATTACAATTGTCTCTGGACAGTGGTTGAGTGATCTTGAGATAGGGGATATAGTTACCGAGCCCTTGTGATGGTCAGATCACTCTCTCCTTCGTCTCGACCTTCAAACCACTGCACCCCGCTGCAGGGAGGTGGAGCCAGTGAGATGGTTCCGCCCCAGGCGCCTGATGGAAACTGACAGGTTCCAGATGGAGCTTGGGCCATTTCCTGAGGCTCTGGCACACGCCTCGACTGGAGACCTAGTGGCTGCCTGGGATAGGGTGGCCGCTGGAGCTCTGGATTGGGTCGTGCCTTTGCGGCCTCTGACCCGGCACCGATCTCATTTGGCTCCTTGGTTCACTGAGGAGCTGAGGGAGTTGAAGCACCAGAAAAGATGCCTAGAGAGTAGTTGGAGGGCCAGTCTTTTGGAATCGGACCAGACACTGGTAAGATCTCATATTAGGAATTACCTAGTGGCGATAAAAGCAGCGAAATGTAGCTATTTTGCTGCTCTTATTGCATTATCAGATAACCGCCCATCCACCCTGTTTAGGGTGACCCGCTCCCTGCTTCACCAGGAAGCGTGGGAGGACCCCTTGGAAGGTAGAGCCGAGGATTTTGTTCAGTATCTGTATGACAAAATCACTCAGATCCGGGAAGATTTGGACTCTGACTGGGTAGTCTCAGGGGGAGGGACTGGGGCAGGTCTTGAGAATGTTATCTGGGATGAGTTTGATCCTGTGACCCCTGAGGACGTGGACAGGATTCTGGGCAGACTGAACGCGACCACTTGTTTATTGGACCCATGTCCCTCCTGGTTAGTGCTGGCTTCCCAGGAGGTGATGCGAGGCTGGCTCCAGGGGATTATAAATGCTTTGTTGGGTGAGGGTGACTTTCCCACCTCCTTGAAAGAGGCGGTGGTGAGGCCTCTCCTCAAGAAGCCTTCCCTGGACCCAGCAGTGTTGGCTAATTATCATCCGGTCTCCAACCTTCATTTTGTGGTGAAGGCTGTTGAGAGTATGGTTGCGCGACAGCTCCCCCAGTACCTGGATGAAACGACGTATCTGGATCTGTTCCAGTCGGGCTTCAGGCCTGGGTACAGCACAGAAATGGCATTAGTCGCATTGGTTGATGATCTCTGGAGGGCTCGGGACAGCGGCTGCTCCTCTGTCCTGGTCCTATTAGATCTCTCAGCGGCTTTTGATACCATCGACTGTGGTATCATGCTGCACTGGCTTGAAGAGTTAGGGGTGGGGGGCACTGTTTTACGGTGGTTCTCCTCCTTTCTCTCTGACCGGTTGCAGTCTGTGTTGGCAGGGGGGCAGAGGTCGACCCCAAGGTCCCTCATATGTGGGGTGCCACAAGGGTCGGTCCTCTCACCCCTT